CACATTGATCTTTCTCCTTCCCATCCCCTCTCTCTAAAAATAAATAAAAATATTTTAAAATCCTTAAAAAATTAAAATGTTTTTAATGATTAAACTGTGAAATACCCTGACTCCTCTGAGGGCAACCTCTTCTCTACTGACTTGCCCCAGAATTCTTATGGGACTAGGAGTGTCATGAAGTTCTATGTCCTTTAACCTTAGGGCATCTCCCCTCCTCACTGCCCAAAACCAAAAACAGGGTAATAGACTTTGCTGTTTTGGTACCTACAACTGTTCTCCAGAGTATCAAAACACATATTTATTGATTTAAATTTTTTTTTGGTTTTGACCATAAAAGCCCCTAAGTCTAAATGATAAAACACTAGAAGGGGTAATGGTAGTGTTGTTTAAAATAGCAGCAGGATTGCTCTGGCCAGGTAGCTCAGTTGGTTGGAGCATCATTCCGTACACCAAAAGGTTGTAAGTTCAATCCCTATTCAGGTGGGTATGGGAGCCAACCAACTAGTGTTTCTCACTTTGATGCTTCTCTTCTACTCTTTCTCCCTCCCTTGCTCTCAGGAAGGAAGGAAGGAAGGAAGGAAGGAAGGAAGGAAGGAAGGAAGGAAGGAAGGAAGGAAGGGAGGGAGGGAGGGAGGGAGGGAGGGAGGGAGGAGTTACAGAATTTATTTTGCATCCTGAGGATGCTGTGGCAAAGAGAAAAAACAGTATCATAATCAAGGTCAAAGCCAGAGGATGATTTGCAGTGGCACAGTGAAGAATATTCTGGTTTTTGGTGCCAATCTACCTCATTTTGAAATTTGCTCCTTAGAACTTTTGATTCTACACTCAAATTGCCCAAAGCTTCCCCCTACTCGACCACTGGTTCTGATGTTTTCAGCTGGATGAAAGTGACTCAATTTTCTAGATTACCATTTAATATGCTCATTTTTTAAATTTAGTTAATCTCAGCTGCATGTTAAGAAAACAATTTAGCCCTGGCTGAGTAGTTCACTTGGTTAGAGCATCATCCCAATACTCTAAGGCTGTGGGTTTGATCCCTGGTCAGGGCACAAGCAAGAATCAACCAATAAATGCATGTGTAAGTGGAACAACAAATTAATATTTCTCTCTCTCTTTATCCCCCAGTACTCTCTCTCTTTAAAATCTAAGCCCTGGCTGGTGTAGCTCAGTGGATTAAGCGTGGGCCTGCAAACCAGAATATCACGGTTCAATTCCCAGTCAGGGCACATGCCTAGGTTGCAGGCCAGTTCCCAGTGGGGGACACACAAGAGGCAACCATACACTGATGTTTCTCTCCCTCTCTCCTTCCCTTCCCCTCTAAAGATGGATGAATAAAATCTTTTAAAAAATCTATAAATAAAATTTCTTTAAAAATTTAAGAAAACAGCCCTGGTTTGTGTGGCTCAGTAGATTGAGTGCTGACCCGGAAACCAAAGGGTTGACGGTTCAATTCCTGATCAGGGCACGGCCTGGGTTGTAAGCCAAGCCCCCAGTTGGGGGCATATGAGAGGCAACTAACTGATGTTTCTATCACACATTAGTGTTTCTCTTCCTTCCCCCATCTCTAAAAATAAATAATAAGTAAAATCTTTTTTAAAATTTAAGAAAACAAATGAATTATCTGTTAAAGCGAGTCCATTAAAAAGTGATTTATTAGGTAACATCCAGAATTATTTGCATTACACATTATACTTTTAAAAAGAGTATGAATTCTTCAGAATTTCAGATTTATTTGGTCTTTCAGGGGATATCTGTGGGCAGGAGGCTTCCCATACTTTCCAGGTGATTCTGGAAATGATGACCCTCTCACTATCCTCCTGGGACCTAGGACTCCTTTCCTAAATGTTTACTTGACTCTAAATTTTCGAAAATACAAGGTTGCTTGGGAAAGGGAAATGATTATTCTCCATTTTGGATAGTTTTTCAACATGTGCTTTGAGGATTATTTGCTTTGACTCACCTAGGGCAACTCCCACCTGACTTCTGACCTCCAGCATCAGAATCTTACCCAGCTGTGCTAAGAAAACTGTATTCTAAAACAACCTTCTCCAGATGACTTGTAAAACCTAGGGGGATATTTTTGAAAAGTAAAGCATTAGCATCATTTGTGTTTTGGGGTTCTTTCTTATTGTAGACCACAGACTAGGACTTCAAGGAGTATCATGTAAAAACCTAATTATAAGATCAAACATAATTTTATAAGACTAATAATTTAACAAATTTATTTACAGGGTTTTATGTACTTTTATTGTAAATTATATGTGTGAAACATCTCACTGAATTATATATGTGAAACATTTCAAAGAATTCTTTGGTGAATGTTGTTTAATCCTGCCTTGCCGACCATTAAGTTAACCAGCTGCCCAAAGTTTTTAGTATGCTACCCACATGTGAGTCTCCAGTAACCCCTGAGGCATTCTCTCTGAACAAGTCTCATTTCCTGTTTAAAAGGAACTAAGTTTGGTCAACTGTACACAATTTAGGTTGGTTAAACTTAAATTAGTTGTCAAAGGAGACTGTAATTCTGCAGCCTTAGAGATATTTTAAAATAGAAAATATAATAATCTTTTTGGGTGAGCAGAGTATACAGCAGTCTAAAGATACAGGATCCAAATAGGTCTTTTAAGATTCTTTCTTGTTTTATAATTTGACTAAACTGCCTCTAAAATCAATCAATACATTTTTTAAAATTTAAGACAACAGTTGTATTATCAGTTAAAGTGAGTCTGTTAAAAGTGATAATTAGGGGGACTTCCGCCAAAATGGAGGCATAGGTGGAGACGTGGTGCCTTCTCACACAACCAAGTTTAGAGACAACTAAATTTTAGCAACAGAAAACACAGCCAGAACACAGAAAATTGAACTTTTCGGAAGTCTGTTAACAACAAATTCTTCAGCCTGACCGGTAAGGGGCAAAACCAGCAGCTGGTGGAGTGGGGTTGCACAGGAAAACTTGGTCAGACGGACTCAGGCACGCAGAATCCAGGCGCAGGGTTGGACCTAGTGAGAGACCTAGCAAGCGACCGAGCGAGCGACTGTGGGGAAACAGCGAGGGAGCTGGGCTTTGGGTTGACTGTGGTCGTGCATTTGTGTGCGGATAGACAAGCGAGGGAGTGGGTGATTGGGGTCCCCGGCAAGCGGCAGCGGAGGGCGTCGCCATTTCCCTGCTCTGACCCCACCTCCACATACAGCGTCATAACCCAGCGACTCTAAGTGGCCCGACCTTGGGGAACCACCTAAGGCTCTGCTCCTCACCCAGCGGGGCAATACAGCAGAGGGGGTCGCCATTTCCCCGCTCTGACCACGCCCCCACATACAGCATCACAAACCAGCAACCTGGGAGTCCAAGGCTCCACTCCTCACACTAAAAGGGCACGAACAGAACAAAAATGGCTCAAGAAGATCTCAAAGCCCCAGAGCCTATAAATCTAAGCGATGAAGAAATAGCAAAACTCTCAGACGCACAGCTTAAAACACTGGTGATCAGGATCCTCACAGAACTGGTTGATTATAGCCACAAATTAGACAAACATATGAAGGCAAAACTAATTGAAATGAATGGAATTGCACAGAAAACCAATAGTGATGAAAAGGAAACTGGGACTCAAATCAATGGAGTGGACCAGAAGAAAGCAAATAATGGCCAAACAGAAAAGAGTGAAGAAGCAAGAATTCAAAAAAATGAGGAGAGTCTTAGGAATCTCCAGGATATCTTTAAATGCTCCAACACCCGAATTATAGGAGTACCAGAAGGGGAAAAGAAAGAGCAAGTGGAAATCTTATTTGAACAAATAATAAAGGAGAATTTCCCCAATCTGGCAAAGGAAATAGACTTCCAGGAAATCCAGGAAGCTCAGAGAGTCCCAAAGAAGTTGGACCCAAGAAGAAACACACCAAGGCACATCATCATTACATTAGCCAAGATTAAAATGAAGGACAGAATTCTAGAAGCAGCAAGAGCTAAGGGGACAGTCACCTACAGAGGAGTGCCCATCAGACTGTCAGCGGATTTCTCAAAAAAGACCTTACAGGCAAGAAGGGGCTGGAAAGAGGTATTCTAAGTCATGAAATCTAAAGACCTACAATCAAGATTGCTCTATCTAGCAAAGCTTTCATTTAGAATGGAAGGACAGATAAAGTGCTTCTCAGATAAGATCAAATTCAAGGAGTTCATCATCACCAAGCCCTTATTATATGAAATGTTAAAGGGACTTATCTAAGAAAAAGAAGTTAAAAAAACATGAACAGTGAAAGGACAGCAAACTCACAGTTATTAACAACCACACCTAAAACAAAAGCAAACTAAAAGGACAGCTAGATCAGGAGTGGAAACATAGAAATGAAGATCTCAAGGAGGGTTAGCAACAGGGGAGTGGGAGGAGGAGAAGGGGGGGAGAAGGTACAGAAAATAAGTAGCATAGACAGTAGATAGAAAATAGATGGGGGGGGCAAGAATAGTATGGGAAATATAGAATCTAAAGAACTTGAGACACATGGTCATAAACTAAAGGGGGGGTAATGGGGACGGGGAGGTAGGGTAAAGGGGAATGAAGGGGGGAAATAGAACAACTGTAATGGCATAATCAATAAAAAATAAATAAAATTTAAAAAAAGTGATAATTAACTGTCAACTTGTTCTTGTTTGTTTCATTTTTTAAATCAGCAGAGCTTGTAAGAATTCCTTGTCCCTCCCTAATAATATAATAGCCTCTTGAGAATCCTTTATAAAAATACAGTTTAGAAGCACATAACATACAAAGGAGGAAACCATTTAACTTGATGATAATACCCCACCCAGGAAATTCAGATACCTAGTACAATTTTTCAGTGGAAATATTTGTTTTGGCCAACTGGCCAAATTCCTTCAATAACACCACAGAATTACTCCTTTTTCTTACACTTTATTTTTACTTTTCACATAGTCTTCATTTTTATCAATTGCCACTATCTTTCTTTTCTTCACTTATTACCTAAATCAGAGTTCAAGGAAGGTCACTTACCTTGAAAGTCTTCCTTCCTTAGAGCCAGGTTGCATATCACTGTGCTCCCAGACTGAGAAAAAAATATCAAAGGACAAACTTAGGTTGCTGGGATCTGTAGATGTTGGGGGTACACCTAAGCAGCTGGGAACCAGTAATACTGGGTAAGAACTGTCTCCAAACACCTTTCAAAAACTAAAGATCTCTTCCAGAGGGTGACTAGTTTATAAACAATCTAAGGGGAGGGCCTTTATTTAAAGCTTATAACACTAAGGATAATATTCTGTGAAACTACTGCAAGTCTACCTGGTAAAGGATTAAAAATCCAATTTACCATTTTTCAAGAGATTGTGGGAAAAATCTAGCATTTTAGTTGAAAATATGTGATTTCCACTCCAGTTACTGTCTCCGGATTCGTTCTAATGTAGCTGTGGAACCAGGTTAACTAATAATCTTTACTCAGCATTTCTTGTATTTCTTGAATGAAAACGGGATTGCGTGGTACGATTTATGGCTAGATTTTTTAGAAGACACTAACAACTTGCCTCTTATCTGTAACGAAAGCTTCTGTCTTCAGAGAAATAAATGAGACAGCGTCAGGTTGGGAAAGATTGACGATGATGCAGGAGTTCTAATCCAGACCGAGTTCGAGTAGTAGAGCTTTATTTTTTACTGTAAAATTAGAGGCTGAAGAAGCTGTTTAAAGTTTCTTCCAAAACTTTCTAATCAAACAGAAATGCTAATCAGTAACCAACATAATTAACTAATGTATCCTGATTTTTAAAATATATTTTCACTTGTGATTTAAAAGAAATATGGACATCCAAATAGTAGCATGTTAGTCCTTCAAAAGCAGGTAAGAATGAATTGGCAACAAAGTCACATGTTTTAAGCTGAATATACTGATACCCAAGTGTCCAGAAAAAATAATTTCGAGTCTACTGTCCACGAACTCACGGGAAAGCCCCGTTAATGGCGCAACTTCGGATCCCACAGATCTCTGGGTTACCTAGCGTCATTTTGCTCGTGGTGGGGGAGACTGGACGCTTCGGGGAGGGAGGCTTCTTCCATGGTCTCTGAGGAAAAAATGTTGAAGGAAAACTAAAACGGTCCCGAATTCCCCTGTGCGGTCCTGATTCAAGGTTCTGGTTCCCAGAGACGCACGCAGTGGTGGGAGACGGCCCCCTACAATTTACATTCAAAGGAGGGCGCGGGCGCGCGCGCGCGCGGACGCGGTAGCTGCTTGCTCGAAGCAGGCAACACCGCTTCCCAGCACTCGAGGCCGAAGCTCGCCGTGGAGCTCTGGGAGGCCACGGAACCGCCTGGTCAACACCGCCGCGCTGATAGGCATCACCGCGAGCCAATGAAAGCTCCGGGAGGCGGAGCAGCGAGACCAAAGGGGCGGGATTTCCCGCCGGACTGCCGTGTTCTAGGCGAGGTCTGCGCGGGCGGGGACGGCGACGGCGACAGACCCAGCAAGAGAGGGTGGGTCGGAGTGGGGAGCTGTGGGCGGCCGCCTAGTCTCCAGCCGCTGCCCTCCCTCCGCTACGATGCCGGGGATAGACAAGCTGCCCATCGAGGAGACGCTGGAGGACAGCCCGCAGGTAAGGTGCGGGTGGCGGCGGGCAGCGAGGGAAGGAGCGGGGCGGGCCGACCTCAGGCCTGACGTCGTCGCGGCCGCAGGTGCCCGCCCTGGCCCAGGTGGGCGCCGCTACCCTGTGCGGTCACCCGCGGCGTGCGCCCCCAGAGCCTCTGAAGCTGAGCCCGGTCCGCGGCTCGCGGGGGCACGCACTGCTAGGCCGAGAGCCGTGCGCGGGGTCTGGGAAGTCGGCGGTCGCCTTCGCTAGTGGGCCCGGTGGTCAGTACATGCACGGGGCTTTTTTTTTTTTTTTTTTTAATTTGACGAAAGATGCCTTTTTATTGCCGGCCGTGATGTGAGGTGATAAATCCCGACCCTGGAATTTTCTCCCCGAAAACATCTTTGGAGAAAATGCAGAAGGAGAAAGAACCGGGTTGACTTAATTTCTGTGTAAGCTAGGGAAGGAGATGGGTAGTTTTTCTTGGGGAGATGCAGAGAGACTGTACACTGGACGCTGTAGTAGGTCATCGGGGAAGCTCGTCTTGGTTCCAGAGTCTACCCGCATTCATTGTGTGCCCAGGGTCGTGGCCGCTGTCACTCGAGCTGTTCACGACTTGTGATGGACGGCGCCTTCGCGGTTCCACGAGTGCCGTGCTGCTCCTTGCAGACTTGCTCCTAATAAGCTCACCAAAATAAAAGCCCTGTGTTCTGTATTTTGCGCTTTGGGAATGATGCTGATGTGATTGCTTTAGCTTAAGACAATTTAGGAAGACAATCATTTGTTATATTTTTAGTACTGAAGAATGAAATTAGTGATATTAAAAGCGTGGTGAGTTGAGGGCTGTAACTGGCAGAGAAACTTCATCCTTCAGTCTGTCTTACACAATAATTTAAGCTATCTAAGACCATCTTGATGCTTGGTCACCACTTAGAATGAAGACAATGTTCTGAAATGTTCATGTAGAACTACAGTTGCATATTTCATATGTCTTGGCATTTAATATGGCCTCAAAATGACGGGAGGAAGAGTTAGATCCCCCTTTCCTGGGTTGCATGTCTGCCATGGATTTGTGCCAAATTAAAATTGGGCTCTGATTGTGGAATTGATTTGTTTTTTTTTCCATGCTTAAAGTTATCTTCACAGGCCAGTTGCTTGCTGGTAATGTACTCTTATCAGCCTATAACTAATACAAAGAGAAACCCACATCTTGGCTTATTTGACAGCTAGAATAGCCAGTTCAGATTATTAATGTCTGCAGTATAAAGTTATCAGTTATATTTGTTTCAGACATTTTGCAAAAATTTTGTGGGCTGTATTGGTCAGGTGCACTTTGTCCTTTTACTTTTTTATTATCTAAGACTGCCTTACTCTTTTACCGGCTTGATTTTTATAGCCCATAAAGATGATACATAGCTCAGGATGGGTTGTACAGTGCCCTAGCCATGATTTGTGAGGAGGATGTAATCTCTTGGCTCATTTCTTGAACTTTTCACAGTTAGTTTACAACCTGAACATCAGTTTTTTATTTTTTTTACAAGAATGTGCTACATTAGTGTTAGTTTTACAGTAATTTTTTAAATATATTTTTTATTTAGTTATTTTTCAAGTACAGGTTTTTTTTTTTGTCTATTTCTCCCATCCCAGCCCCCCTGCCCCATCTCCCCCCCTCCCATTCCCCCCCCCCCAGTCCTCATCCCTGTGTCTTTCATACTTGTTCCTCAAAATCCCTCCCAATTTTTCCCCTTAAATTCCCTTCCCTCTCCCCTCTGGTTGCTGCCCACTTGTTCTCTATTTCAGTGTCTTTGTTTTTGTTTAAATATTTTATTTATTTATTTTTCAAGAGAGGGGAAAGGAAGGAGAAAGAGTGGGAGAGAAGTATCAATGTATGGTTGCCTCTCATTTGTCCCCTGCTGGGAACTGGCCTGCAACCCAGGCATGTGCCCTGAATGGGAATCGAACCGCGATACTCTGGTTCGCAGGTCCGTGCTCAATCCACTGAGCTATGCCAGCCAGGGCCAAGTTTTACAGTAATTTTTAATGAAATATCCACATTGATACTTCATTTTCTAAAAGTAATATCAGTAGTCTTGAACTAGATAACATTTATTTGGGAAAATTAGTTGGTGACAACTGGAATTTGGAAAGGAAAGACACTTGGAAGTAATTCTGAGGGAGAACCTGTGCAGAATGGAAATCCCTGGATCTGGGATTCAGGATATACGGGTTTTAATCCTCACTGCCACTTAGTCTCTTCAGCTTTAGGGCAAATTACTCAACTTCTCTGAACCACCACTATTACAGAGAGAAAATGTTTTTATTTTTGTACCTGGTTATAAAAATAATATTTACTTTAGAAAAATTGGAAATACAGAAAGAAAAGCGGTTATGTGCTGTGTACCCAACAGCAAACCTTGTTAATCTTGTTTGTTTCCTTTTTTTCTAATTTTTTTCTCTTACACATTTTAATATAATCAAGATGATATTGTGCATACAACTTTTTGGCTTTAATTTAACATGGCTTGAGTACCTTCATATATTACATTCTGAATAAAAGAATTTAAAGGCTGCATGTTTCCTTAACTGACTTAATAGTTGTCCTATTGGATTTTTAGAGTTTTTTCCCAAATTTTGCTTTGTATATAGGGCTGAGATTCATGCTTTTGTGCATAAATTTTTGTTTTAATTTAGACCATTTAGGATGGAGTCCAAGAAGCCAAGTAACAAAGGGTATGGAAACTTTTAAAGCTCCTGATAAAAGTTTTTATTAGATCATTTGGTATTAATCATCTTTAAAAAGCCTGCCACTTGCCACGTAAAAAAAATTAGAGCCAAGTAGTCATGAAAGACTATCCCGAATTACACTTATTCTTTTTTTAGTTTTGATTTATAGAAACTATTAAATTAGGGAGGGATTTGCAAGTTCAAATCCAGCAGATCAAACATATACGTTTTTAGAATTACCATGCCCAAACAGCACATTCTGCAAAAGATCATCTATTGAGGCAAAAAATCTTAAGACTACACTGAGTGCCTTATCCGTCCTTATATAGTGTTTTGAAAATCAGAAACAAAATGAAACTTCCTAATTAGAACAGATATTCATTGATTTTATATGTAGGTAAATATCTTATTCATGATTATTCATCTATTCTAGAACTGTGAAGACAAACTCCAATCACAAACGGTGGCTTCTTTGTCATAATATGAAAAATATATCATAGATTATTACACATTTTTTTCTTCACTTTTTCACATCTTTGTTATCTCTTATACAGTCCCCTTACAGCTGATGATGTTTTACTTGTAATTGCTTGCCAATGTACACACTTGGTTGTTTTTCCTAGTGCCATAACTGGCCAAGTGTGACCTCTCAGTGTTCACCCAACAAATCAATGTAACAACAACTTGAAGCATTATCAGTCCTGTCTGTTGTTTGAAAGTATTCCTTTGACACCTTGTGAGATGAAGCAAGTGCGGCCATCAAATCTTGCTGAGCCCTGGCTGGGTGGCTTAGTTGATTCTAGCATCATCCCCATACACCAAGGTTGTGGGTTCAATCCCAAGTCATGGCACATTCAAGAATCAACTGATGAATGCATAAATAAATGGAACAACAAATCGGTGTATTTCTCTCCCCCTCCTGCCTCCTTTCTCTCTCTAAAATCAATAAATAAAACTTTAAAAATATTGCAGAATGGGTATCTGATGACAGTGTAAGAAAATGCAGGGTGGGGTAAAAGGTTTATAGTTGTTCTTATGTAAAATACAGTAATTAATAAAAATACAAAAATAAACCATTTCACATACAACTCTAAACTTACTTTTGCTCCACCCTGTGTTGGGGACAAAAGTGGAGTGCTTCTAACAAATGTTTGTCATTTCATGGCACAGAATAGTATTGGATGGGAAAATATGGATATGGATAACTCTTGTATCAAAAAGTGACTCACAAGAGTTAACTCTGTGAAGAAATTTTAGGATTACATTAAATTTATGCTGCTTGTGTTTTCCTTTTCATGTTTATATGGACATTATATATAAAATTCTGCCTAACAAGATTTCTCCATGATTTTCTTATCACATCTTAAAATGGCACTTTGAGAGGTGGGAGTAGGGCACTAGAGCTAGGAAATAAAAAGATTCTGTCAGATCTAAATCTCTGGGGTTTGGGGAAGTAGAAGACTGAGAATGTGGACTTGGTATACTGGCATAACGATTTTGTTCTTAAAATGAAACCATATTCACTTAGCTTCCTCTTCTAAAAATAGGAAGCTAAAGAATAAATTGATTTTTGTAAAGCCAACGTTTTTGAAATTGATTTTTTTAGAGAGAGAGAAACATCAGTTTGTTGCACCACTTATTTAATCATTTGTTGGTTGATTCTTGTATGTTCCCTAACAGGGATCAAACCTGCTGCCTTGTCAGGAACATGCTGTAACCATCCGAGCTACCTTTCCAGCACCTAAAAGCCAGCCCTTAAGGTTGAGCTTTGTAGAATAAAAATACAAGGTTTTTTAGATTTTAAGCTTTAGTTTTGGTAATAGTTTTTGGCATTTTAATTCTTCCCTGCTTTTGAGATATAACAAGGTAAGCATACTTTGCCTTGATACGCTGAATTTCCTTATCGCTCATACTTTTTTATGGACAGTCTTAATATTTATGTACAAGTTTTTCTCCTTAAAATGAACATATTTACATGCTCATTGAAAAAAATAGCCTAACAATAAAGTGTATAAAGAAGAAAAATAACACTAAATTTTACACTCAGGAAAACATAGTTAACTTTTTTTTAGCACTTTATTTATTTAAAATATATTTTATTGATTATGCCATTACAGTTCTATTTCCCCCTTCATTCCTTTCCACCCTGCACACCCCTCCCCCATCATTCCCCCCTTTAGTTTATGACCACATGTCTCAAGTTCTTTAGATTCTATATTTCCCCTACTATTCTTGCCCTCCCCCTATCTATTTTCTACCTACTGTCTGTGCTACTTATTTTCTGTACCTTCTCTCCCCTTCTCCTTCTCCCACTCACTCCCCTGTTGCTAACACACCTTGTGATCTTCATTTCTATGTTTCAGCTCCTGATCTAGCTGTCCTCTTAGTTTGCTTTTGTTTTAGGTGTGGTTGTTACTAACTGCGAGTTTGGTGTCCTTTCACTGTTCATATTTTTTTGTCTTCTTTTTCTTAGATAAGTCCCTTTAACATTTCATATAATAAGGGCTTGGTGATGATGAACTCCTTGAATTTGATCTTATCTGAGAAGCACTTGATCTGTCCTTCCATTCTAAATGAAAGCTTTGCTAGATAGAGCAATCTTGGATGTAGGTCTTTGAATTTCATGACTTGGAATACTTCTTTCAGCCCCTTCTTGCCTGTAGGGTCTCTTTTAAGAAATCAGCTGACAGTCTGATGGGCACTCCTTTGTAGGTGACTGTCCCCTTAGCTCTTGCTGCTTCTAGGATTCTCTCCTTCATTTTAATCTTGGCTAATGTAATGATGATGTGCCTTGGTGTGTTCCTTCTTGGGTCCAACTTCTTTGGGACTCTCTGAGCTTCCTGGACTTCCTGGAAGTCTATTTCCTTTGCCAGATTGGGAAAGTTCTCCTTTATTAGGTTCTCCTTTATTATTTGTTCAAATAAGTTTTCCACTTGCTCTTTCTCTTCCCCTTCTGGTACCCCTATAATTCAGATGTTGGAGCGTTTAAAGATGTCCTGGAGGTTCCTAAGCCTCTCCTCATTTTTTTGAATTCTTGTTTCTTCATCCTTTTCTGTTTGGTCATTTTTTTTCTTCCTTCCTGTCCACTCCCTTGATTTGAGTCCCAGTTTCCTTTCCATCACTATTGGTTTCCTGTGCATATCCCTTCATTTCACTTAGTTTAGCCTTCATTTGTTCCTCTAATTTGTGACTAAAACCAACCAGTTCTGTGAGGATCCTGATCACCAGTGTTTTGAACTGTGCATCTGATAGGTTGGCGATTTCTTGGTCGCTTAGAGTTATTGGCTCCCGGGGTTTGAGTTCTTTTCAAGCCATAGTGTTTGGTCTGTTTGCACCTGTTACATATGAGGAGGGGAGCCTTAGGTGTTCACCAGGGTGGGGCCACCCAGGTCGCTGGTTTGTGATGCTGTATGTGGGGGCGGGGTCAGAGAGGGAGCAATAGTGGTCCCCTCTGCTGCTTCCCCACTGCTTGGGCCGGCTTGGTCTGTCTCACTGCTTGCTCCTTTGCTGATTTATCTGCGTGTGAATGTGTGAAATGTGTGACCGCGGTCAGCCTGCCACCTTGTGCCTTCACTGGGTCTGCCCTTTGCTACCTCATACCTGGGATCCGCCCTCGGCTGCCTGTGCACCTGGGTCGGGGATTTTTTTTGCCCAACGACTCTGCTACTGGCTCCGCCCCTCTTACCAGTCTGGCTGAATGGTTGGTTGTTGTCGGACTTTCATATAGTTCAATTTTCTGTGGTTTGGCAGTGTTTTTTGTTGCTAAAACTTTGTTGTTTTTAAACTTGGTTGTGCGAGAAGGTATAGTGTTTCCACCTATGCCTTCATCCTGGCGGAAGTCCTAAACATAGTTAACTTTATTAAATATTTTATTGTTGTTCTATTACAGTTGTCCCAGATTTTGCTCCTTTGATCTCCTCCTCCTGGCCCTGCTCCCACAGTCAGTCCTCCCCACCCCCCATTGTCCCTGTCCATGGTTCATTCATACATGTTCCTTGACTAGTTCCTTCCCCATCTTTCCACCCTTATCTCTCTCTCCCCTCCCCTCTAGTTGCTGTCAGTCTGTTCCTTGTTTCCATGCCTCTGGTTCTATTTTGCTCATTTGCTTGTTTTGTTCATTAGGTTCCTTTTATAGGTGAGATCATACGGTATTTGTCTTTCACTGCCTGGCTTATTTCATTTAGCATAATATTCTCCAGTTCCATCCATGCTGTTGTGAAAGGTAGGAGTTCTTTCTTTCTACCGTGTAGTATTCCATTGTGTAAATGTACCACAGTTTTTTGACCCACTCATCTACTGATGGGCACTGAGGCTGTTTCTAGCACTTGGCTGTGTAAATTGTGCTGCTGTGAACATTGTGGTGCATAGGTTTTTTTGGATTGGTGTTTCAGGGCTCTTCCGATGTAATCCCAGCAGGAGAACTGCTTAGTCAAAAAGCAATTCCATTTTTAGTTTTTTGAGGAAATTCCATACTGTTTTCCACAGTGGCTGCACCAGTCTGCGTTCCCACCAACAGTGCACTAGGGTTCCCTTTTCTCCACATCCTCACCAGCACTTATTGTTTATTGATTTATTAATGATAGCCATTCTGACTAAAGTGAAGTGGTATCTCATTGTGGTTTTAATTTGCATCTCTCTGATAGCTGGTGTTGCTGAACATCCTTTCATATACCTCTAAGCCCTGTGTCCTCCTTGGAGAAGTGTCTGTTCAGATCCATAGTTAATGTTTTATAGGCCATGTTGGAGAGAGGCACTATGGTATTATTTCTAGATTAGGATGGGGAGGGGCTTGGCACTCACAGAAGGTACCATGGAGAAAAATAAATAATTATATTAAGTTACCCCAAAATAAGACATTTAAAATATTTGTACATGGTATACTGTTAATCTAGCCTTGAACATTTCTGTTGATTTGTCTTAGTTTAATTATAGACTTTTTACTTCATAAAAATATATTTTTGTTGTTTCTCCTAAGGTTTGTGTGATATATTTGTTTTAATGATCCCTCTGGATCATTAAATCTTTAATAAGATCCCTCTGTTTTAATGATGTGAAATTGAGAACAAAGAATCCCAACATCTTAGTATTACTATCAAAAGAGAGAAAATATATTAAAACTGAGATTAATTAGAGCATTAATATTCTGTGATTTTTCTTTTCCTTTAGAAAAAAATTCTGTCTGATTTATATAATGGTTAATATAAACTTATTGCTTTTATTTTATACAGACAAGGTCTTTATTGGGTGTATTTGAAGAAGATGCTACAGCTATTTCCAACTATATGAACCAGTTGTATCAAGCTATGCATCGGATTTATGATGCACAGGTAAAAAGTTAAAGGCTGACTCATTGCTTTTTAAAAATGAATCTTTAGTCCTGGCTTGGTTGGGGTATCATCCCATGTACCAGGAGGTTGATAGTTTAATTTCTAGTCAGGGCACATGCCTAGTTTGTGGATTGATTCCTTTGGAGTCTGGTCAGCACCCAAATGGGAGGCTGCTGACTGATATTTCTCTGTCACATCATTATTTCTCTTTCTCTCTCTCCTCCTTCCTCTCTCTCTAAAATCAATGAACATATTTCTATTAAGAAAAATAAATAAATCTTTAAGCCCATGAGGACAGAGATAAGTGTCTGTCTGGTTTACTGGTGCCTAGCCCTGACCTGGGCTCATAGGAACAAATACTTGTTGAATGGATGAATGAACATTAACTATTTTGTACAAAGCTCACATTTCAATTACTAATGTATAGTTTGTAGTACCACAAAAATTAAGAAGATTGAAGCATCCTGCCCTTTCTCCTCAAACCCAGTAAGGACTTCCTTAATTGAAACTTACTGATAATGACCTTTGCCTAAGATTTGTCTGGAAACCCTACGTTGTTACCCATTTTCCCTAACCTTGCTTTTAATTTTATGGAATGTTTCCTCCCCTTTTTGAGCAGAAGATTTGAAAGAAATTTCCTTTTATCTAGTTCATAGAAGGTGATAAAAATTAGATCTAGCTGTGGAGCACAGGAGGTGAATTTAAGAAAACAGATGACTAGATTTTTTGTTGAACAGGAACAAGATTTGAGGCTTTGTTTATGAAACTTAATTATAAGCGTTAACAACAATGTGGCTTCTATAATATATTTTCTTTGGGATTAATTAAGAATACTTTTTTTTTCTCTTTCTAATTTTCTCTCCTTGTTTCTTCATCCTTTTCTGTTTGGTCATTTTTTTTCTTCCTTCTGGTCCACTCCCTTGATTTGAGTCCCAGTTTCCTTTCCATCACTATTGGTTTCCTGTGCATTCCTGTGAGTCCATTCCTGGACTCACATTTCCAGTACGTACTTTAAAGTTGTTGTGATAGTTGTTTTGTTTTGTTTTCTTCTGATTGGTCTCTCAGGATTTGATTTCTGACCACACATTGATATGTAAAAGAAATGGGGTTTTTTTAGTCATTATAGTCATACTGAAGAAAAACCCCTTTAAATTAAAAATATTTCTTTTTTTTTAATATTAAATTTTATTTAGTTACTTTTCAAGTACATTTTTTTTTAAAATCTATTTCTCCCATCCCACCCCACCCCCCTGCCCGGTCTCCCCCCCAAAAAAATATTTCTTTTATATGGCTTTGTTGCTATATTTTATGACTAGGTGGACTACATTTTGGTTTTGTGTTATTAAATGCTTATCATGGTCTAGTAACAGCATCTAGAGAGAGGGATAATAAGTTGTCAATATAGAATCTCTTAAGATTTTGCTAAGATTTGTACAGTTTACTTCTAGCTTTAAAGCTTTAACAATATTTAATTTAATGCTTAATTTTATCAGTTAAACAAGCAAACATTGGGAACACTGCTGAATTCCTTGATGGTGTGTACTTCCTGGTTTGAGTATCCTTGTAAAGTGCTTTAATGGCAATTCCCTTTTCCTTGATTTAGTGAGGGGTTTAGAGAACATATTGTACTATGTTTATGTTAAGTGATAAATAAAAATGGCGTAGGTGTCTTCAGTTAAAACTTTTTTCTTATCAGTAGTATTGTGTTAATTTGAATTAATCTTTTTTTATAGAATGAGTTAAGTGCAGCAACACACCTGACTTCAAAACTTTTAAAAGAATATGAAAAACAGGTATTGTATATGAAACTTTTAAAAGCATAATTTAAAATATGCAGCGATACAGTATTTATATAGTTAAGTAGAATTTCTCAAGAATCCTAAGCTTTTTTGATTTTATAGATGTTAATTTTGATATGCTATTGAAATTCCATTATAGCACATATATCTAATTTTAATGATTTAATGGTAGATACAGAGATTATCTAATTTATCTCTCTTGTTTTTACAAGTGAGGAAACTGAGGCTCGCTTAAGTTATACAGCCAGTTATTGGAGAAATTAGAGTTAAACACCAAATCTTTGAACTCCTAGAATGGTGTCATTTCTATATACCATTTTAATTGATTGCTTAGCAACATTTTAATTAATGTTTACTAATCACATGAATTATACTGTTTTATTAAAATAATATTTTTAGAGCTTATTCAAAATTTAGAAGTTTTCTGAAGTTATATAAGGACTTGAAATTATAACCTCTTTCATAAAAGACGTAGAGCATTGGCCCTTTACCTCATCTCTGTTTCTCACCTTTCAGCGTTTTCCATTGGGGGGTGATGATGAAGTTATGAGCTCTACTTTGCAACAGTTTTCAAAGGTTATAGATGAGGTAAATGCTTATTTTATTTTGCTTGACTAAGTCACCTTATAATTAAGTTATTCAAGTTGTTTAGCTTTTATTGAGAACTTTTATTATAATTATATGAGTAAGTTACTATTAATAAAAGATTACTACTTTTTAAGAAAGACCTTATTTCCACATCTTGGTAGTTGTCTTGTAAAAACAATGCTCTCTTTGTCTGAGTAAAACAAATTGTGTTCAAACAACAAATTATAGATATGCTTTTCCAGTCCATGTAACAGTTAGTTGTGCACTGTCTTATTTGATATATACAGGGAGAAAAGAGTTCAACTGTGAGCTCTGCCTAAGCTCTTTATGGTTCCTCTTTTTTGCCATGAGGATCAGGCAACATTTTACCATTCAGTTCATTAATCCTTCCATTCCACATAGTATCAATCTTTAATTTCTCTGGTCTCAGAACAAATCACTCTAAAAGGACCTGGAAGTTAGGAGGAAGAAAGGTAATGAGAGATGTTTGGAGAATCTATAACTGTTCTCTACTAGTTCAATGAAAGCTCTTCTTTTCACATGCATCATTAAATAGTTCTGTCTTTTCTAGTCTCCTAACTGGAAGAGTAAATTTTTGAACTATCTTTACTAATTTATTATAGCAAAATATTGTTTCAGTAGATCCGTATAAAGAAATATTTATAGGAAAAGGAATTTTTAAGTTGTGGTTAAATATACATAACAACATAAAATTTACCATTGGTGACATTTAGTACATTCAGTGTTGTGCAACCATCAGCACTTAGGTTTTAGAACACTTTTAACGTCATCCCAAAGCAAACCCCGTGCCCATTAAGCAGTCACTTGTTACTCCTCCCTCACCTCAGCTTCTGGTAACCATAAATCTGCTTTCTGTTTGTATGTGTTTGCCCATTTTGAATAATTTATATAAATGGACTCATACAGTTTGTGGATGTTTGTTTGTCTTCTTTTACTTAAAAAGTAAACCATTCACTTCCTAGATTTATCCATGTCATAGCATGTATCAGATTTCATTCCTTTTTTAGCTAAACAAAATTCCATTGTATAAATATACTACATTTTATTTATCAGTTTATCCGTTGATGGACATTCGGGTTGTTTTCCACCTTTTGGCTAATGCAAATAGTATTGCAGTGGGCATTCATGTACAAGTTTTGGAGGTTGTTTTTTTTTTAACACCAGTTTTCAGTTCTTTTGAGTATGTACCCTGGGGTGGGGTTGTTGAGTCATATAGTAATTTTATGTTTAACTTTTTGAGATACCACCAAACTGTTTTGCACAGCTTCTGCACAGTTTTACATTCCCACCAGTAATGTAGGAGGGTTCCAGTTTCTCCACATTCTCAACACTTGTTATTTTCATTTTTTTTTTATTGTAGCCACCAAATTGGGTATGAAATGGAATCTCATCATAGTTTTGATGTGCATTTTCCTCATGGCTCATGATATTGAGCATTTTTTCCTGAGCTAATTGGCCACTTACATATTTTTGATGAAGTGTCTATTTAGACCTTTGCCCATTTTTTAAATTGGGTTATTTGTCTTTTATTACTAAGTTTAAGGTTTCTTTATTCTAGATACAAATTCCTTATTAGATAATATGATCAGCAAATATTTTCTCTCATTCTGTGAATTCTTTTTTTAAGATTTTATTTATATTTTTAGAGAAAGGGGAAGGGAGGGAGAAAGAGAAGGAGAGAAACACTGATGAGTTACCCCTCATATGCCCCCAACAGGGGACCTGGCTTGCAACCCAGGTATGTGCCCCAACCAGGACTCGAATCAGAGACCCTTTAGTTTACCAGCTGGCTGACGCTCAACCCACTGAGCACACCAGCCAGGACTGCATTATCTTTTTACTTTTATTGATTGATTGATTGATTGATTGATTTTAGAGAGAGAGAGGAATAGAGAGAAGTATTGATTTTTTTGTTCCACTTATTTATGTATTCATTGGTTGCGTCTTATATTTGTCCTGAGGGAGGATTGAACCTGCAACCTTGGCTTATTGGGATGATGCTATAACCAAGTGAGCTAGCTGGCCAGGGCCTGACTTTCTTGACAGTATCCTTTGGTGTACAAAATTTCCATTTAGATGAAGTTCAGTTTATATTTTTGTTGCTTGTGTATGTGGTGTCATATCTAAGAAATCACTGCCAAAATCCGAGGTTATCCTGTGTTTTCTTCTGAGACTTTTAAATGGAAATTTTTTATTGTATATTTTTAATTATATCACAATTTTAGTGTTGTCTTATTAACACTAAATATCAACACTTTTTATTAGATTTTATTTGATTTATGCAACACTGGTTAAATGTTTCTGTTATTTGGCCTTTTTGGTTTTTCTTTTACTAGCTTAGCTCTTGCCATGCAGTACTCTCAACGCAGCTTGCTGATGCCATGATGTTCCCCATTACCCAGTTTAAAGAAAGAGATCTGAAAGGTACTGACGTCAAGCTTCTGTTTACTTTCATTAGCTGTCAGAAAATCAGTGCCTATAAAATGCATATTACTCTATATCTTAACCATTTCTGAATACAGCCTGTGCCACTTTTACTTTAATTAGTCGCCAAATATTTATAGGAGCTCCTGCTAGACATTAAACTAGATACTGAGGAATACCAATATGAATAAGATGTCACTTCACTCAAGAAAACCTAGAGAAAGATATGGGGTGATTAAACAGATAATTACCATACTGTCTCATAATTAGGGAATGAGCAAGGTGTTGTGAGGAATCAGGGGAGCGTGGCAGAAAGGCTTCTTCAGGGTGTGATGAAGAGGAGTTTGCCAGGAGAAAAGAGTCATTACTTTATTAGAGAGACTAGGAAACACAAAAGTACGGATTATAGAAATGCGTGGCTTGTTTTGAGAATGACAAGAAGTTCAGTGTGGCCGCAATGTTGAATGTGTCGGGCATGGAAGGAAACAAATCTAGAAATAGATTAGTTGGGACTAGATTATTCTAAAGATGTTCAATTTGAGTTTATAAGCAATGAGAAGCCAGTGGAGCTCTTTAAGAAGTGGAGAGACATAATCCTTTTGCTTTTGGAGGGTGGAGTAGGGTACATTTGATATCTAGAATGGATTAGGAGGTTGTAAGAATCCAGTGAGGTGTGACCATTGCCTGAACTGAGACAGTGACAAAGGAGATGGAGACGTGTTTATGGGCTAGAGTGGCAGGAGGTGAGAGTACTGGCACATCTAGCAGTCCATAACTTAGTCATTTGTGGTGGGGGTTTTTCCCCCCATTTAGCATTATTCAGTGATAAAATGAGAGTTATACAGAATTGTCTCTCTTTTCACATGTTATAATCTTAGAAAATGATACAGACTTATTTATAAAATATGTAGATAGAATAAAACATTGAGCTAATGTATCAGTGGATAATAAAATATTTAAATTGTAATGGGATAAAAACAAATGTATTTTAGAGATGGAGTTATATTTGTAGTGGTAATCTTCAAGAATGGTCATTTTAGGGTCAAGAAACAAGATCTGTTTTCTCAGTCTACAGGGACTGAATCTCATAATATTAATAAAAAGTTCTTTGTTTCTCATTCAGCATTTGAACTTATTAGAGTCAATATCAAAAAATGAATTAAGTTAGATTCTGGTACTGAGAATATTTGCATATCTTAGGATTTGTAGTGGTTTTAAAGTTTGTTTTTGTGCCATATTACTAATTTGTGGATTTTCTCAAGGGGTAACTGTTGTTAATGATAGTAAATGTTCCATTGACTAGCTGAAGTACAGAATAGCTTTTTCACTTTGAATGTTGAAGTATGAGATATTATTTGGAGTTTTTATAGCTTAAATGGCAGTTATTGTTTTCTAAACAAAATTTAAGGTATTTCATAAATATGCTACACTGAAATTGTTCTTAAACTTTTCCAGAAATATTGACATTAAAGGAAGTGTTTCAGATTGCTAGTAATGGTAAGCTCTTAATACTTTACATAATTATTTCTTTTAATCAGTTTTTTATCAACACAGATCTGTGGCCAGATTCTATGCAATAGTTGAAAAAAATGAACCTAATTAAAAGTTTAAATGAGATTTATTTATTTATAAAGATGTTATTTATTTATTTTTAGAGAGAAGGGAAGGGAGGGAGAAAGAGGAGGAGAGAAACATCAGTGTGTGGTTGTCTCTTGCATGCCTTCCACTGGGGACTTGGCCTGCAACCCTGGCATGTGCCCCAACTAGGGATTGAACCGCAACCCTTCAGTTCACAGGTCTGCGTTCAGTCTAGCCGGGAAAAATTAGCATTATTTAAATCAGCATTGTTATTTAAGTTGCACTGTTTACACTACAGGAAAATTTAAAGAAAAATTAAATCTTTTGATTTGCTATGTTCATAATATCTGAAGAGATGATATAATATTTTCCCTGCCTTGTTTTCCTATATAGTCTAAGTTTTCTTAAATGAGCATTTGCTATTTTTGTACTAAAAATATCTCTATAAACTTTTAGTAAATTGCAGTTTCCTGTGAATTAAATGCTATTACCAATTTAATAAGTAGACACATACTTTAGGGGAAATTAGGGTAGGGGAATATTTGGCTGGAGTGATCATGTGGTAACTAATTATTATCTTGCTTTAGTACATTTATTGAAAGCTATACATATGAAGACCATTTAAACCATTTATAAGTTTTGCAAAATACTGTTTTTTTGTCATTAATAGTCATTTCTTTTTTCCAGATCATGATGCTGCAATTAACAGATATAGCCGATTGTCAAAAAAAAGGGAAAATGACAAGGTATGATACATATTTAACTCCTTCAGTAATGCAGTTAACAGCTATTTCATTAGGTGGTCTAGTTTTTCCCATTTAAAAACAGTAACCAGCATTTTATTTTGTATGTTTTGCTGTATTGTCCTTAGTTTAGTTTTTAAATTTTTATTTATTAAATTTAGAGAGAGAGGAAAGGGGAGGGAAAAGATGGAGAGAGAGAGAATTTGTTGTTCCACATATTTATGCATTCATTGGTTGTTTCTTGTGTGTGCTCTGAGTAGAGACAGAACCCTCAACCTTGGCTTATCAGGATGATACTCTAACCAACTGAGCTACTGGCCAGGGCTGCTCTTAGTTTAATCTTTTTTCCTAATTATTTCAAAGCCTTTTTGATAATTCTTAATTATAAGATGGTTAGTGATTGACTCTTTAAAGAAAGTACTTCTCTGCTGACAAAATTTTATGAGTAAACATAACAATTTCAAAAATGTAATTTATGCCCAATATATAACATTGTATCCTTTTGCTTTGTATTTTGATAGCATTGCATTTGTTCTGTTATTTGATCCTGTATGTATTAAAAAATGTCTTCTGAGATACAGTAGTTATGCATACATAATCAGTGAAATTCTGTTATGACCTTTGGATTTACAGGGGAAAAAATAAATAAATTTCTTGATACTTCTTCAAGGAGTTAATCCAGAAATGTTACACTATATTTGAGGACAAATGCATTTGAGTGAAGGACAAATAATAATAAGTTCATTTAGATGCTCCTTAAAGTCATTTCTCTCTCAGTGCCTAATCCAAGGCTTGATGAGTAGGCCTCCACTAGTTGCTTGTGTGTGAGGTGATCTCTGTGCCTGGGAGTCTGTGTGTGTAGCCTCGGCTGCAGGTGTGGGTGGGCACAGTGACCACCTGTGGGAATCTATGATTGGGTAGGATTTACTGTGCAACAGCTACTATGAACAATAAAGGGAACATTTCTCATATTTCTAATTTTAGTCCACTGATTACATGATGATATAAATAATAAATACATTTTGAAATCTGTATTGTTTTGTTACTTTGCCTTAGCAAAGTAGTTAAAAGCTCTAGGAATGAATTTTGGTATATTTTACATTGCCTCTGGCTATTATAGGTATTTTTAAAAACATCTTTCATCAATTTCATTTTGTTTAAAAATTAATTGAGCCCTGGCCAGTGTGGCTGGGTTAGAGCATCATCCTGTGCACCAGAAGGTGGAGAGGTTTGATTCCTGGTCAGAGCACATTCCTAGGTTGTGGGTTTGATCCCTGGTTGGAGTGTATGTATGGGAGGCAACAGATCAATGTTTCACATTGATGTTTCTTTCTCTCTCCCTTCTTTACTCTCTAAAATCAATAAACATATTAAAAATTTTTTTAAAAATGAATTGAGCACCTACTATATGTTGGGTACCTTGGATGAACAATGTGAATAGACTCCACTCCTGCCCTCAAAGAGTGGGTAAACCACATTCATCAAAGACTTCCTGTGTGAAGGCATGTGACTGGACTAGATGTCAGAGTACAAGGATGAAGAGAGTGCATGTATTCTGAATTAAGTGCAGTAATAGAATATGTAACAAAACACTGGGACAGCACAGAGAGTGCAGCAGTCAACTTTGGTGAACCGGGAAAGGTTATACTTGTAGGATGTGATATTTGCATGGAAGATGAGTGGACTTCACAGGTTTGGAATTGGGGAGAGGGCATTCCTGGAGGAAAAACAGCTTTTGTAGTACATGGTAGAGTCTGAAGAGTGTTAAGGTTTATGTGCACTGGCTCTGGAGTCAGATTGCTTGGGGACGAATCTCACCTCTCTCACTTATTTGCCTGAAGTCATATAGTGGTTAGTTTCAAGCCTTTATTTCTCTATCAACAAACAAACAAATAACTTTAGTAATTCTTAAAATGAAAGGAGATAATGCCTGCAGAGTACCTGGCTTATAGCAAGTTTTCATGAAACTTTGGCAATAATTATAATGGAAAGATAATCCTTTCTGTGTGTTTGGAGCATAGGAGGAATTTGGGTAGGTATGGCAGAGATGGCAAGCAGGTAGTAGTTTGGGGCCAGATTACTATGCTAATGACTTTGAAATTTGTGTTAGAGGGTGTGGGCAGCCACCAAAAGACTCTGAGTTAACTATGCAGTTGTGCTACAGATAGAAATACTAATGGGAATGTGAAGGGGCCACTGGAGGGAATTCAGTGAAAAGTTATCAGAATAGCTTGCAAAGATATTAGGAGAGTCTCAGCTAAGGTGATTATTGAAAGTGGAGAGGAAGGAATACTTTTGGAAGGTATTTCATTAGTAGAATTGATAGGACTTAGGTTAGGAGGAGAAATAAAAAATAAGTCCCAGACAAATAACCATGTGATTGCACTCATGTGGAATCTAATGAACAAACTGAACTAACAATCAGAATAGACTCTGGGGAATGGTGGTGGGGTAGAAGGATCGAGCAAAAAAGAACTCATGGACACAGACAACAGTGTGGTGATTGCAGAATGGAGAAGGGTGGGGGAGGTGGAGCAGGGTATAAGGGGGATAAATGGTAATGGGAAAAATACAATCAAAATATTTTAAAAGTCCTAGAATTCTTAGATGATAGGATGGGTCTTGGATCGTTAAGAAAGCTGAAAAACAAAGTAGAGGAGCAGGTTTTACGGAGAAGATGCTGTCTTTAGTTTTGTGTATTTCCAGCACACCCCCTGCCCCCATACACACATACATAAAGAGCCCAGGTGGACATGTGCTTCCTTTGACACTCGTGAGAGTGGTGGGCAGGAGGTAGAAATTTGGGGGCCATTGGTGTATGGAATATTTTTTTCGTACTTGATTTAGTATTCTCAAGAAAGCAAGAAGATAGAAGAGCCTACTACATATTACATAAATGGTGCTCAGTAAATGTTTGTTGTCTGAATACACGAAGTTAAGGGAGCACACATTTTAAGTGTGGATGAAGGAAAACAAATAAAAGAGTGGAGGGACAGTAGGGAAAGAACCAGCAGCAGAGAGTGGTATGCTGTGAGCTGACAAGGTCAAAGACTAATGGCTAAGCTAAAACCGATTGTCTGCCCTTCCTCTGTGTGGCAGACTTTCTCTGACATGCTCAGTTTATTAATATACTATTCTTAGTTACATGCAGGATTCTGCTTTTAATATATTTTAAAATGAAGTGGTTGGTAGTAAAACAGAAAAACTATCTTAGCCAATATTTTGCAGGATTTCTAATACCTAAGGAAATAGAAATCTATGCACAGTTGCTGGTGATGTACTTTTTTTCTTACATGGGCTCTTCTTAATAGCCACTACTTCAAAATTAAATAAATAATAGTATTTTTAATCTTACCCTTAAAGGTGAAGTATGAAGTAACAGAAGATGTCTACACTTCCAGGAAAAAACAACACCAGACCATGATGCATTATTTTTGTGCATTAAATACTCTTCAGTACAAGAAGAAAATAGCTTTGTTAGAACCTCTACTTGGGTACATGCAAGCTCAGGTGAATGCTACACTGTGTTTTGGATTATAACTGCCCTAAAATCTTTATATTAAAGTATGATATTTATGTTACATGTAAGGATATCATATTACAAACTAAGATCAAAATACAAGTTTGTGCCTATGTTTTAAGAACTAATTTAAAATATCATCAGAATGTAATTTTGAGGAAATTAGGGAAAAGGGTTTTCTTTGTAGATGAAGACTTCATATATTTTATGGTAAATGAAACCATTTATCTTGTATTTAGATCTTGTCCATCACAGTTGGGGACAAGGAACAGAAAGTTGAATGAATGGAGTTAACCTGTTGCTGGAGCTTCTACTCACTCTTTCTTCACAGTAGATCTGATAAGAATTTGTTTCATGCTGCTTATATACTTCCTGAGTTAAAAATACTCATGAACTCCAAAGTGTCCCAAGAGGTGTGCATCAGGAAGGGGGTTAGAAAATGAAATTTGTGTAATATGAGATGGCAGCCCCCTAAAAGTGAGAGTTTAAAGAAATTTGATTATTTCTTTAAGTATGAGTATCATTACTCCTCAGATGTAAAACTTTTTGTGTTAAAAATTAAGTAGTTTATCCATATGACTTACCTGAAATGGTCTAAGATTTATTTTCCAATTAAAAAATTGCTTATTATATGCATGTATTAATATATAAAAGGATGTACAGTGAAATTTAACTTCAGTTTCTTCAGTGGCCCATGACCAGCAGAGGTCATTGTAAACTGCAACCTGTTTTTACACAGGTGGGAATAATCCTTTGTTTTTTACTTACCCTATATCTTGGAATTTGTTTCTATGATCCACTTAAAGTGCTTTGTGTATGTGGTTGTTTCCGTTTTTCATCCTCCCACTCTCACACCCTCTTGCCTCAGATAAGTTTCTTTAAGATGGGTTCTGAAAACCTCAATGAACAACTGGAAGAATTCTTAACTAATATTGGAACTAGTGTACAAAAGTAAGTATTTTCTTCCTTAAAGTTGAAAATGAAGTTACGTGAATGATAAGTTAACAGCTGATTGTCATAATCTAAAAATATTTACCATTTAATTTTCTGAGTGGCTGTTTTCCCTGCCATGTGAGTGTTTCTAGCATGTCTTACGAACACTTCTTATTTTTTTCACACATCTTTTCCACAGAATCTGAACTCTGAATTTCATAGCAGTGTCAAATCTCTGGGTATTTTATTGTTTCTAAACTAGGTCTTAACTGTGAATATAACAGATACATAATAATTATCCATAAGTGAATTATCTTCATAATTACCTGAATTGTGGGGGATAGATTGGAGATTACTAAATAAATCTTGTTTTCCAAGCCATGAAAGCTTAGAGAGAGAAAGCACTTCTAATCAGGTTCAAAGGTTTGAGCAGTGATGTAGTCAGTCTGAGGTATAGAGGGAGATGAAAATGATTATTGTTTGAAAGGCACAGAAGAGTTTGAACATTTCTCTAAAGCCAGACATTGAATGTGGCTTCATTAGTTTTTGAATTTAGTATTGTTTCCAAAATATCTAAGTTTTAAATAAAATGTAAGCTTATACCATGTTCATGTTACTTTAGCCACCCATACCACTGTTGCTCTTTAAGAAAATTTATGCAAAATAAGTAACAGATGAACATGAATGATAAGGAGCCCTTCTCTGTTGTGGTTGGTAGTAAATAACCTGTTCTCTGTGTTAGTGTTCGCAGGGAAATGGACAGTGATATAGAGACCATGCAGCAGACAATAGAGGATTTGGAAGTAGCCAGTGACCCTTTATATGTGCCTGACCCAGATCCCATGAAATTTCCTGTTAATCGAAATTTAACCCGAAAGGCCGGATACCTTAATGCTAGGAAGTAAGAAAACTTGTTGTTTTTATATATTGTATATATATATATTTTTTTATATTGTATATTATTTAAGGTATTAGCAACTGAATGTAATATATAATGGATATTGTCTGCCAGATTGTTTTGATTTTACTAAAGGTCGAACCTTTTTAGTTAGGGATAATAGTATTTATGTGAACTTTTTGACCTATTGGGTTCATGAATAATTTTCAAAAGTAAATTGTTTAGATACTTGTTGAATAATTTGAAATTATTTTAAAAAGTGAAATCAATTTGAGTTTAAATTAAATATAGCATAACATGAATGCCCTTAAATGTTATTTATCGTACTTTAAAATATATTTAATTATACTATCAAGTCAGATTTTAGTTTTTACCCGAAGATAGGATAAAGCACATTAACTCTAGGAGTAAAATAAATTCTTTTGCTTTTAATTTTCACCCTTGAAAAATTGAGCTATATTTTATGGAGCATTAGTATAACAGGTGTAATTTGGTAATTTCCAGACTTGTTTTAGAAATATATTCACACACATTCTCACAAGTGGTCAGCATATGTGAATTTATTTTAGAGATGAAAAACTGATACTTATATTTTCTAGGCACCTTGGTGCTTTTTTTCAAGCTGGTTCTTTGTGATGTGCTTCATCTTGTGTCTGACTTACAAGATTTTGTGTGCGTTGTTATTAAAGCATGAATGTACTTTTCTTTATTTAGTAAAACAGGCTTGGTATCATCTACCTGGGACAGACAGTTTTACTTCACTCAGGGTGGAAACTTAATGAGTCAGGCCCGTGGGGATGTAGCAGGAGGCTTGGCCATGGACATAGACAACTGTTCAGTCATGGCTGTGGACTGTGAAGACAGGCGGTACTGTTTTCAGATTACCTCTTTTGATGGGAAAAAGTAAGTATTTTTCTCAGTATTAATAAAGTTTGTAATATATTAAACTACTAAAATGTAGGATAATTCCTTTCCATTCAGACATTTTATAGATATTTTAGGGTTATTATTTATTAAGATAATTTTTTGTAGAAATGAGTTGAACTTTCCTTTCTGGAATGGTTAAATGATGTCTTAATATTTTAAGGTTATCAAAGCATGGTCATATGGTAAAGAACTGTGATTTCATGTTGAGACTGGTCACTTGAAAATCCTGCATGGTGTGGGGAAGGCAACACAATGGAAAAAGCCCCAACCTTGGGGTTAGAAAGTTCAAATTTTGGACCCACTAACTGTGTGGTCTTAGACAAGTTACATGACGTCTCTGAGCTCGATTTCTGTACATGTAAAATCGGGAAGAAGGTCATAATCCCTACTATGTAAATTGTTAAGGAAAAATCAACATCTACAATATGTAATGTGTGTAGCATGTATTAATACTAGGTGCCAGCTATAATGTTATTTTTAGACATTAATATTTCTGATCAAATGATTTAGTCCGTTAATGCTTATATTCTATTTAAAATTTTTTTGTTATATTTTCATTAAATGAGAATCCATAGAACAAATTTTTGAAAAGCACAGAAAAATATAAAAAGGAGTATTAAAAAAAGCTATAATATCACTAACCAGAGCAACACTTAACTTTTTGGTCTTGCCTTACCGTTTTAACTATAGTTTTTAAATAGTTGATGAAATACTATATATGTAATTTGCATCTGCATTCACTCACTAGAAACATAATGGCTACATTATAATCCAGTTAAGGATATATACCATAATTTAAAATTTTTCCTGCCCTGGCTGGTGTGGCCCAGTGGATTGAGTGCCTGCTTGTGAACCAAAAGGTTTCAAGTTAGCTTCCCTGTCAGGGCATGTGCCTGGGTTGCAGGCCAGTTCCCCCATTGGGGGCTGTGCGAGGGACAACTGACTGATGTTTCTCTCCCTTTCCCTCTCTCTGAAAATAAATAAAATCTTAAAATTTTTTTTCCTAATGATGTTTATCTGCAATTTTTTTTCTATTTAAAATACTGTTTTTGACCTTTCTTTTTCTTCAGAGCATCTCCAGTTTCCCTGAAAGTCATTCCCTCTCATATTTATGTATTTAGATGTTACATTTCTCAAAATGGTTGTTTAATTTTATATTCCTTCTATAAACCTATAATGAATGTCAATCACTGTGTATCATTTATCATGCTAGATGTTGGGAGCCCCTGTATTCATTTGTCATTATCAAAATGTTAATACTTTACTATAAGTACTTACCTTTTTGTATTTTCAGTTTTTTGCCAATTTTTAGCAGCATTTTTTATTTCACTTAGAAATAGAAAATGGTTTGATTCAAGATTAGTAAATAATTCTCTAACTCTTAAAACATAAACATCCCTTATAGAAAAGCTAAATATCCCTATGTTAGCAATTAATATATTGAAAATTTTTATTTAACTACATTCAGTGAGAAGTAATCATGAAGTAAAATTAGTGTTTTATATTAGGGTCAGTTATTTGTATTTGAAATACGTGTGTCAGAAGGTTGAAATGGATTGTCTTAATTGAAGCGCAGCTTTGTTATTGGCTGTCTTCTGAAACTAGCACCTGTTTCTTTTTCAGTAGATAGTCATAGTCAAAGGCATAGATAGTCAAAGTCAAGGTTTGTTAAAATCTGAGTCCTGATGCCTCTGGTGGTCTCCTTTTCCTAAGATACTAGTTGGTTATGTGTTTTGGATGGTGTTTTGTTTTTTTTATACTGATTGGTTTTATATGTACCTTTAAATATTAAAAAATTTCTCATATTGAAAGTACTTTGAAAAAAGTTGAGGTTCAAATTTTTTCTTTTTTTTTTTCAGATCTTCAATTTTGCAAGCAGAGAGTAAAAAAGACCATGAAGAGGTAAAATTTTATCTAGCTAATTTCTTTAGTAACAGCTTAAGATATTTTTGCTGATGAGAAACATGTTAATGTTTTCATTATAGACATTTGAAAAATTCTGGTTAATTAAAAATATCTTTTTAAAAAAGTTAAATTTCCTTGAACAACATTCTTAAGTTTCACAGAGAATTTTATAGTTGGACCTCTGGGAAGAGATCTTAGAGATTATTTCTGTCCTGTCTTTTTAAAGGATCTAATTCAGAAGTGACCTTGTGACTCTTGCTTCCTGGCAGGCTGTTAGTATAATGAGGTGACAGTTTAATTTATTTGCTTCTCTCACCGTCTGAGACAGTATGTGCTGCATTAAGAATATAGTGGCAGCAGATGTGGCACAGCCAGAAGCAACTAAAGTAAACTTTAGGTTTTAAAAAACCTTAGGGAAATGAAAGACAGAAAAACAAAAATTTGGGAATGTCTGTTCTTCCTCATGAGTATTTTATTTTTGGCTCCATTTTTACTCATAGTACACCAAATATGGAAGGTAAGTTAGTAAGTACTAGGAACCGATATGCCGAAAACTGTCTTAAGAAATATCCTATAGTGAAAATATCTTACAGATTGATTTTTGAGCCATTTTATCTGGTGTTACAATTGTGTTGGTGAAAGAGAAGGTTACAGGTTTTGTAGAGAATACAAAATTTACTTCTTGCGGAAAAGAATAGGTATTAAAACTTGGCTTTTGGTCTCTGAGGAACACAGGCAAAAGTCTGCTCTCTGCAGGGTTTACCAAACAGAGTATTAGTTTAGTTTAATGAGGTTTATCAGAGGTTTGAGAGTGAAACAGAGAGTTTTCTATGTTAATTTTTTTATAAACCTGAGAGAAGTGAAGTGTGTAAAATATATTCACCAGGAATATATTTAGCTCCTAACTTATTTGCATGGTGTTAATAATGATACCTGAGTGCAGATTGTGTTGTTTGGTAAGGATTAAGAGGGAAGTGATATAAAAATGTAAATATAGATCACTAAATTGTAATTTAACATAATTGCTATAGTTTTTATTTCCTTGTATGAAATAAAGTTGGGATTTAAAAATAATCTATTCAATGCTCTGTTAAACTTTCAATTATTTACATATATGTGCTTATAAACAATATATGGGAAGGTATTTATCCTATAGAAAAGATTATGTGTTACTTCATTTAATGAAACTTGTATTTCATTCAAATATTGAACATTCTCTTTTAGAAGAGAAGCACTGTAGAAAAAGTATTAATCATATTTTTTTGTTTTTGCCTCTTGTAGTGGATCTGTACGATAAACAATATATCTAAACAAATATATTTAAGTGAAAATCCAGAGGTAATATTTTAATTTTATTATATCCAGATCTGGCAAAATTAAATAAGTTTGTGGCTAATATAGCTTTTATTAATTAAGTTGTAATTCTTAAGTTCTATAACCTTTTAATTTGCCTTTGAATGGGTAGCTTTAAGTATCATGTATAATAAGTATGGTCTTCCTAGAACAATAAATTATTTCAAAGGTACTGTAGTCTATCAACTAACAAATGTTTACTGGGCACTGACCTCGTGTAGTGCTGTGTTGAGCACCATGGAGAAGGGGGATAGAGAACAGTAAGCCATGGCTGTCCTCCAGGAGTCTATGTATGTGGAAGGCAAGACTAAAACTTGTAACATTTCATATAAAACAGTGTGCTGACCTGGCCAGTGTGGCGGCACAGTTGGAGCGTTGTCCAGTAACCGAAAAGTGGTGGGTTCAGTTACTGGGCAGGACACATACCTAGGTTGAGAGTTCAATCCCTGGTCTGGGTGCCTGCAGTCCCCCCAGTCCAGACGCATACAACCCCTGGTCTGGGCACCAGTCCCTGGTCTGGCTACCAGTCCCTAGTCTGGTTGTGTATGGGAAACAGTCAGTCAGTGCCTCTGTTTCTCTCTCGCATCCATATCTTTCTCTCTAAAAGCAATGAAAAAAATGTCATTGGGTGAGGATTACAAACAAACAGTATGTAATTGAAAACATATTGTGATAATCAAAAGCTTAATATACATTAAGATCAGTGTGGACTTCAGTTTTAGAAAAAACTGTGGAGATGGTTGAAACCTGAGCTAGGTAAGATTTGTCCATGTTTTGAGGAAAAGAGAAGACATTGCAATAAGAAAACAAACAAAAGAACAAATTTAGATATAGTATGAGTTGACTCATATATTTGGATTTGAAGGTTCTTGTTGGAGAATAATAGAAAAGTAAAATGTGCATACTAATCACCTGGGGATCTTAAAATGTATTTAGTAGGGCTGGAGTGAGTCAGCATGTTAATTTTGCCATTTACACTTCGAATAGCAAGGGTATCAAACCAGATAAACTCAGCAGTATAGACATAGTCATAGGTACCGTCCAAACATACAGACTGAACCCAGGGATGCAGAGAACTCTGGAAGGAATCAAGTGTGTCCATACCACAATGGAGGTGGGAAAAGACTTGGCTTAGGACAGGAGCTGTCTGACTTCTGCCAGCGAAGGTGAGCCCAGCTGTGCTCTGAACCTAGGTGCCTCCTAGGGCTGGCTGGGAGTTAATGTGAATTCAGTTGAAGCAGAACAGGGCCAGTTTCTCTAGAAAGTTCTCCCTCTTTTAAGTCTTAAACTGGTGTAATGATTGATTAGATGGGAGTGTCTGGGGACATGAAGGATTACATTTTCATACTTGAGGCATGAACTGAGGAAAGGGAGAAGATATAGAAACAGGTAAAAAGAAATTGACTGGACTAATTGTAACAGAACTGATATAAAGGATGAAAGAGACATTAAAGATGACTTCTAAGGTTTTAAGCCCAAGTGAAGGGAATATTTTGGAAGAGTTCCGGTGTTTGTTTTTGTTTTATTATAATTGCTTTGGGGTTCCCCTCGAACACACAATTTAGGTACCTAGGAAAAAGTTTTCAACCAAAGAAACAAAATTTCAGACCTCTAAACTATTAGTAATTTCTGATAGTTTTATAATAATCTTATGAGTTTAAGAAATCAGTGCTCACTGTAGAGAAGTCTTTTGCATTTAGTAACTTGATCTCCTGCCAGTCTAGCTTTTCTTTCTGTTATGTTATTTGAGCAACAAAAAATTAAAATATAAATTAGTTGACTTGTTAATACCTGGGGAATAGTTAGAGAACACAGTGTTTGGACTTGAAAAATTCAGGCTTATTGTACTTTCCTATCAGATATCAAAACTTAAGTTTTAAGTAATAGTTTCCAGATTATCCAGAATCATCTATATCAAGAGAAGAAATTTTGATCATTTAGTGGCATTATCTTGGTATTTTTGCTAACTAGAAGACTCAGAAATGTCAGAATATTTTGTGATTATTTTTTCTAATCTAAATGCCATTTTATTTAGCCAGTGTTTTAAATAAATGAATAAGTTTACAAATATTTCTAATGGAAAGCTTTCCTTCAAACTTTGGTCTGAGCATATCCATGATAACTTTATCTATTAATATATAGATATTTCTGAGCATAAATATATTTTGGAAAATTATGAAAACTTCAGCAGCCTAATTATAAAATATTTTAATATTTTGTGACTGTTTTCTACTTCTAAATTTTTTTAAAAGATTTTATTATTTCTAGAGACAGGGGAAGGGAGGGAGGGAGGGAGAGAAATATCAGTGTGTGGTTGCCTCTCCTATGCCCCCAACTGGAGACCTGACCTGCAACCCAGACATGTGCCCTGACTGGGAACTGAACTCACGACCCTTTGGTTCACAGGCTGTCACTCAGTCCACTGAGCCATACCAGCCAGGGCCTAAATTTCTTTATTTAACAAATGTATTGAGTATCCAGTATGCCAGACACTCAATACTAGGTGCTAGCAATACAGACTTTAATCCAAAAAAATTTCATACTTAAAATGTAAAGAAAAAACAATATTTCCTAATATGTATATTAGTAGAAAAAAATCAGATTCGCTGCCCCCCCTACATTTACAAGAAATAAGAGAAAATAAGTTATAATGCTGCAAAGCTAATTGTGTATCTTAATGTTAAGACAGAGTACCTGGAACTACTTTAGTAACTCCAACTTACACACAATGTATAATTCAAGAACATTCTGACAATTTAGAATTATATTCAGATTTTGGTTTTTTTACTTTATTAATGTTAGTCCTTTAAAAAAATAGGAAATTGCTGCACGAGTAAATCAGTCCGCTTTGGAAGCTGTCACTCCTTCTCCATCTTTCCAGCAGAGGCATGAGAGCCTGCGGCCAGCAGGGTGAGTTACCAGATTGGGTTATTTAGAGAACTATATGGGGTGTTGAGAGTGTTAGGGAATGCTCAGTTTTAGCAGTGCTGCTTAGATTAGTATGAAATAGTTCCCCAAACAACATAGAAATTGTATTTTCAAGTTGGTGAATTTACCAGTGAGAGTGCTAAATAAATGATTCCAAATTCCCTTAGAATTTATTTCTAGATTGAGGTGATTTATATTTTTGAATTTAATAATTGGAAAGAAAAAAGTCTCTTGTTAAATAAGTAGCTATGATTTGGGATCGTGCTTGTTAACATTTGTTTTCTCTTTGACTTACAGAATATATTTTCTTTTCTCATAGTTTAAGTGTTTAATTTCCAAAAGAGAAAACTAAATGGAATGTCTTTTTGTTTTCTTCTGTGCTTAGACAATCTCGACCATCAACAGCTCGAACCAGCAGTTCAGGATCTTTAGGATCTGAGTCCACAAATTTAGCTGCTCTCTCTCTGGATTCTCTTGTTGCCCCAGACACCCCCATACAGTTTGACATCATTTCTCCCGTGTGTGAAGATCAGTCTGGGCAGGCAAAAACTCCTGGCCAGGGAGGCAGGTGGGTGATGGCATCACTGGGGTATTATACCATAGTCTCTAAGATTTATGATTCCATTTCTGTGTTTGAGAGTCATCTTTTACATATGTGCATCAGCTGTGTTGTACATTGTTTAATTACCGAACATAATTTTGATAGTTGGGGAAGAATCATAGCCGGTTTTTCTCTTTGTTTTCTGCCTCAGTTAAATGAGTTAAGATAATTTAGTTTTAAAAGCATTTAATTCTGAATTTGCTTATCATATCTTCTTAGGTATTTGCTATTAAAATTTTCAGAAGAAAGCTGATAGTCCTATCTTTAGGTCATGACAATATTTTTAAAATTCTTGAAAGTAATGTATGTGTTTTAGGTTTATTAGAAAATACTATCTTGTATCAGAATAAGAAATCTCCAGTAAGGTACTAAGTCATCACACTATGAATTAATGAACCATCTTTGTTTATATAATGAGAAATAACCTTGGCAGAACATTAAAATTTTTCTTTGGTTGTGGATGAAGGAAATGTGACTTAAGGCAAATTATTTAAGTATGTTGAATCCCCAATAAATTGATAATATATTAATTTGGATATGCTTGGCTATAACCCAGAAAAATTTACATTTGATCACAGAAATATATTTAGCATTTGATATAATAGGTCACACTTGTATTGGGGAGATAATTTCATTTTAACTTAATGCCCATGCTATTTTAGAACCACTTAACAAAACTTACTTTGAATTGTACTTTTTTCCCTTCATTGTGGGTGTGCAAGAGCCAAGCACTCTAAGGTGGTAGATAGCTTCCATCACTAAATTGTTTTTTTTTGTTTTGCATTTTGTTAACGTATGCCTTGAGAAGTACAGGTTTAAAACTAAGAAATGTTGAAGTTATCATAATTAACTTGCAACATATACTTAGAGAACCTAAAAAGAGGTTTTTACCATCCCAGAAAATGTTTTGCATTTTTCTCAAGTTGCTAAAATTGAAGCTAAATCAGCTGTTTCTCTGTCCTAGTTTATTTAAATTTGTGAACTTTTGCAACATGTTTTTTTACAGTGTGTGTGTGTGTGTGTGTGTGTGTGTGTGTGTGTGTGTGTGTGGTGTGTTGAACTTCTAGTCCATCAGCTCTTTCTAAAATGCAGCAACTTTGAGTTTAGTCTATTGACCCAATGTAAAGACAATGGCCTTCCTCAGAGTAATTTGTTCATCAGCAGTGTTCCTTACCGAATGGGGTATTTTAGAATGTTATTTTAAATGCATGTACAAGGTTTTGTGACTCTTAGTTGTTAACTCTGGTTTCAGTGATTGATATTCCTTCCATGTGGTTCATTGTAACTGACTGTTGGCTCATAATTTTTAAAAAACCTTTCAGGCGGACAAATCCATTTGGAGAATCCGGAGGAGGTACAAAATCTGAAACTGAAGGTAAAACAGACGTGCTCTATTCATGCAGTATTCTTATGTTTTAGAAATTCTCAGAAGTAAACTGTGTAAAGAATTTGTTGTTTACATTTGCTGTATGCTCTTTTATGTTGTTTACATCTGCTGTATGCTCTTTTAATGTTATCTTTACTTCACAGTTTCTTCTTTTTACTCAAAGCACACTTAAAGCAACAGAACTTAATTGGACTTAGGATTTTGTTATTCACACAAAATTATAGAATATTAGACTTTTGACCTCATAGTCAAGTCTCAATGTATACCATATCCTTTAAGCTTTTCCTAACAGCAGATGTTTTCTTCTGTTGCTGGAGCATAACTTTTTTGCCTTTTTCTAGAAGCTATTTATTTTTTATTTAATTTCAGACTTACAGAAAAGATGTAAAAGTAGTACAAGGAATTCTTTTTTTTTAGTCAGTCACCGATTGTCGAAGCATAATCTTTGCTATTTGAATTTAAGACCTTAATTTTCCTGTAACTTGAACACTATTGTTAGGAGTTATCTAAATACTTCTGCTAGGTTGAAATTGTCACTGGAAAATAAAAGGAGGCAGTGTATTTTATTCATTAGGAAAACAAATGTGGGATTTAAAACTATATAACATACCTTGTTCTGTTGTAGATTCTATTCTTCATCAGTTATTTATTGTACGATTCCTTGGTTCTATGGAGGTGAAATCAGATGACAATCCAGATGTTGTGTATGAAACAATGCGCCAAATCTTAGCTGCCCGGGCCATCCATAACATCTTTCGGATGACAGAATCACATTTGTTAGTCACTTGTGATTGTTTGAAGTAAGTAGTAACCTCTTTCTCAAAAAACTGTGGGAGAAATGTTTATATAATTTCAAGCTAATTAAAATTTGTTTTCCAAATTTTTTATTATTATAGGTTAATTGATCCACAGACACAAGTTACAAGGCTCATGGTGAGTTCTATGTGGGTATCTTTGGGCATATACACATTTTATGTCTTTATAATAATCCTGATTCTGTATATTCAGATGTAGTAGTACCAATTATAATTGATCTTTAGGCTGTTATAGTTAAGTGTATGGCCATCTCTCCAAAAAAGTTAAAATTGAACATTCCATGTAACTTAAAATAACCAGTTCAGTCTGGTGTGATATGTGTTTATTCCTGAGCTAGGGAGCATATATCATACAGTAAAGAAACTAATAGGATTTAAAAGGGGAATGTGATTGAGATTATTTTATAATTAGCTATTTTGAAATAGTTGTAAGTATGTCCTTCTGTTTAATCATTTCATAATATATATCACTTTTGAATTTGACTTGGTAAAATGTGTTAATGACAATAAAACAAATGCAGTATTCAACAGGTTCTTACTCTTCCTGGCAATCCAAACCAAATATATTATTTGTTCTTGGATTACCATTTTGTTAAGGAAAAAAATTGGTTCTAATGTTCTCTTTAGGATATTTTTGTGTAACTTAGCATGAGTTTGTTGTAATGGATTGAGAAATCTCATGTTTGCTTCTGATGTTTTTCTGTGGCAGTTTCCATTACCTAGTGTAGTTTTGTATGCTACACACCAGGAAAATAAGAGGCTTTTTGGATTTGTTCTTCGGACATCCGGAGGGAGAAGTGAAAGTAATCTATCATCAATCTGCTATATATTTGAATCAAACAATGAGGGGGAAAAGGTACCTGCCTTTTCAAGTGTTGTCTCTGTTGTGAAATACATATCATAGTCAAAGTTCTTACTAAGGTATCTGGAAAACAACTTGAACTTTGCCTAGTCCAGCTGGGTTGGTTGACCAAAGTCTGTTGCTCTGAAGATAGCTGAGCTGCTGGTATATTGGGTCTTCTGAGTTTTTTAGACCTATATCTTTCCAGTCACTGATAGCTGGTGCAGTCTTCTGGCCTCATTAATTTATCCTGGGAATGCAATATATTCCCATAATCAGCTGTTTTCACATGTCTTCAGCCTAGAGTAGCATTAGGAGCTGCTTGCTTAATTCTTTGCAGACCTTACTATCTCAGTAATGAATATGAGATGTCAGAGTGGGTGTGTTAAAGGGGTGATAGCCAGTAGTTGAAACTCACAGACTTTGAAGAAAATGCACAAAAGCTTGTTTTGGGGCCTGGAACATTCTTAAATCAGCTTTTTTGTTGTTTTGTTTTGAAGCATTGTATTGTAATAAATTATACTTTTATCCCTTTTAGATTTGTGATTCTGTTGGATTGGCAAAACAAATAGCTTTGCATGCAGAACTGGTAAGAATCCAAGACACCTAGTTATCCAAGAATGTTAACTGAAGTAATAAAGATTTTTTGTATTGGCAAATAAGTAAAATGATTTTGCTAAGTAAGGTTAACATTGGATACTATTGCTGATTTGGCATTTAGAATTTGGGTAAATGGCTAACATAGAATGTAAATCTTTGGTGCACTTTTCTCATATAAATGCAGAAAATAACTTGAAAAGGTTACAAGGTAATATTAATTGAAAAGTCTAAAATTTAAAGTTATTTCATATTTAATTCATTAGTTGTATTCATCTGTTCTTCAGGATCGTAGGGCATCAGAAAAACAAAAAGAAATAGAGAGAGTAAGAGAGAAGCAACAGAAAGAACTCAGTAAACAAAAACAAATTGAAAAGGTATGCAGTCCTAATGTTTGGATCTTCTCTGATGTGATCTTTGTAAAGAGTTTCCTTAATTCAGCTCTGACTTTCAGCTTTGAATTTGCAAGTGAAGATCTGTTTCTGCTTGCTCAGCTACTTCATAACAGTTGGTTCATAGCATAGCAGAAAAGGATGACATCTGTCTTCTGACATGATGTTTACATTATAGTTATACTGACATGGAGAGTAACTTGCCATTTAGCAAACATATCAGAACTTTTTGTTCTCATATTCCAGTGAAGGTTGGCTCTGTCAGCTCAGGTCTTCTGAGAGGCTCTGTCATATAGAGTTAACTGCCATTGCTGAATTTCACATTGGCCTCTAGGAATATATGTTATATATAGGTAATATATGTTATATGTAAATATTTAATATTACCAGGAGTATCAAATCATTATCCACCCAAATTTTAAAACAAAATCTGGAGAATGCATAGATAGGTGATACATGAGATTGTAAACGGTAGATATGGGTTGTGGCACTGACAGTAGCAGATGAGAGAACTGGGATGCTTAATGAGAACAGATCAGCAAGAATTGTCAGTGGAGTATGGACAAAGGAGAGGGGAGTGGCAAAGATGAAGATGCCCCTGAAGTCAAGGCTATCTTGATAGATTAGGCTGAGGGAAGATGGCAGGTGATTTAGCAAGATAAATTGGACAAAGTTGGAGGAGAGGGCATGTGCAGTGATCGCTTGTGAGTGTTTTACTGTAATAGTGAGTGATAACAATGGTCTGAATTTGGATATTGACCATAATAATGGAGAAGAGGGAAATGTTGGCTTTTATAGGATTTCTAGAATGGAACCAGAATTCATTTTGGTGTTGCATTGGTTGTGTATGGCCTTTCTTTTCAGTAAGTTGCCAGAATTATGCATTATATTTACAACAGAAGGATTGAAGTGGTTCTCAAATATATATTTTAACTGCATAGTTTTCCATTTGATTGCAAACAATTAACTTATAGTTTCTTTCTGTCTTTTCCACTAGGACTTAGAAGAACAAAGTCGGTTGATAGCAGCTTCCAGTAGACCAAATCAAGCCAATAGTGAGGGGCAGTTTGTTGTCCTTAGCAGTAGCCAGTCAGAAGAGAGCGATTTGGGAGAAGAAGGAAAGAAGAGAGAGTCAGAAGCATAAACTTATCCTTCCTTTTGGTTGATAGTTCCCCCCTTCAGATGTATTGACAATTTCTGTGGTGAAATGACACAAGGTAACAACTATGTTGAAATATCAAGGAGGAGAGTAAAGTTTATATTTGCTTATTTTAACTGCATTTTAAAAAATAACATTGATGACAGGTTTGCATTGATTTCTTTTTCTTAAAAGTAATAATCTATGCAGTAACATCAAATTCCACATATCTGAAAGAAACCTGTTTATCTCCCTAATGTCGATTGCTGAGGAATTATACTTGCTCAAGCCTTTTTTCCTTTAAATTGTGATTTTATTATCTTGCATTGTAATTGGTTATGACCATAAGAAATTGTTTCTTCTTCAGCTTCAGATATTCATGGTTATGCTCCCTCTATTTCATTAAGAATGTTTCCTTGGTAGTAAGGAAGCTTTTGACTGAATAGGTTCAAAACCCTTTATACAGAGAATTCTATAAGCTTGCAGATATTTTAACAATATTAAATGTGCAATAGAACTTTTATAAAATAATTAGAAAAGAGATTTTAGACTTAAGGTTTTAAATTGTGGCAGGTGGTACTGTGGATTTCAGGGCACTTTCTTGGATTGTTCACATCCTCTGGTGTTCTATACCTGATGCCACTGGGAAAGAAGCTTGTGTCTTCAGTTCAGTTATTGATACAGCCCTGGGCATTTTATTACCACATTCTTAGTTCTCAGGTTGGAACTTGAATTATTGCTGCAGAGCAGTAATGGTTAAAATAAGATTCTGGAATTTATTAAAAGGGATTTTTTTTGTTAAGTACATTTTAGATTAGGATGTAATGCATAAAGATTGTTACTGGATAATACATTATATTTTCTGCATTGAGTGAGATAATTTTTATTGAAAATCAAGTGACATTTCAAAAGAAGTTCTATAACAATTATGTTTTCTGCTTACAATAAAAATTCCCAGAGATTAGTTTAGAAAATGTAGTCTTCTAAATTTCAGATTGATAGACATAGTATTTTCATAACCCCATGTTTTGATAAAATACTGACACCAGTTTATATCCACAAAGGAACATAACTAATATACTAAAATAGAATAATTTGCACTAATTATTGTAAATACCTGTACTCTTCCAATGAGTGAAATCTCTAGCTCCATGAAAGACAAAAGGAATTGAATGCTTGGAATAGGAGAGTTGATGAACAAAGGACTTTAGCATGGTGTCAAGGTTAAAACGACATTTCTCTATTGCCTACTTCTGTGTCAACACTTGATTTTTTTTCTTTACTCAGATTTTTAACATTGCTAATAGAAATTATGTTCCTGTGTTTTACATGTAAAAGCATATATAGACAAGTGAAGTATATTGAATAAACTATTTTACAGTTACACATTTAAAATTTTCAAGAGATTAGCCACTAAGACTAATTTTACAAGGGAAAAGGTTCTTTTATATACAGTTTTTCTTCTTAGTTTTGAATTAGAAATGGCATTTATTTAGTTCTCACAATATAGGGTGGCTGCTTCACACTGTATATACAATGTTTTCTGTAGGAATGGGAAAGGTATATATAGTGTCATGATACTCTTTTATCCACGTGCCAAATGGGAATAATGATTACTTGACAATCATTATTTTGCAGCCTTAGGTTACCAAAACATTTAGTAAAAAAGTAGAAATTTATGGGATACTTTTTGAAAAAGTTTATTTTGTGCTTGAAGGGAATGGTTTCACAACAGTCTGTGTCATTCCTTTTATAGAAATTGAAATTTCTTCTGCAGTCAGCACTTGATTAGTCTTACAAGTCATGCTTTTGGGACCTTTTTGAGAATTAATAAGCTTTCTGTTTCATTAAGTTTTTTGTTTATACTATCAAGTTGTTGACTCACTCAGCTCAGATGAAATTTGTCACCCTGCAAGGGAAATGGTCAGCATTAGGAGGCAGATTTACTAGGCTGGTGCTTTGCAGTTAGCAAAGTGCTGCCCTTTGTTAGCACTCTGGGTCAAAGTTTCGGGTAGACTTAAGGGTACTGGAAGGCATAGGGGTGGTGGACAGACTTATAGTTCCTTAAAGTCATGTTGTGATAGGATTTACACAATAATACATCCATGTCCATAGGTCAGACTAAAGTGCATTCCAACACCAAACAGAAGTCATGTGTGAGTTTAATAATTTTAGGTGATTCACCTTCGGTTTCATTACTGTAGTGTACTATATGAACTATTCCATTACTACAGATATTTAAACATCAACTTAATAAACTCTCTTTTGATGAAAGAAGGCTGCCTGTGGGTTTTTGCATAATGTTTAAATTGATCTTTTTGTCTGTTACCCTTTGAAACTTCCCCTTCTAGCTTTGGGATGCTTTGGTGTTAATTGAATTAGATTTTGGAGTCTCTTACTCAGACTCAAAGTTGCACTTACTGGTTTTTACATATTAACAAAACTGATTCTTTAAAAGGAAGAAATTAAGTCTACCTAATTCTGCTATGCACCCTGTTATTTATATGAACAGTTCTTTTGTACCTATGGTAATGAAGTCAATAGATAGAAAACAAGTTATTCCTTCTCCCTTTCAGAATGTTCGGAACTTGCTAATAAGGGACTAAAACTATTACCTTAAACAGAGAATCCCCAAAGTCAGTCTGGTTTTTGCCATGTCTACAATGATTACTTGGTGTTTAATTTCAAAAGAATTATCGAGCTCTACAGTCTAGGGGTGGTAGATTTATTTTACCTTTATGCTTGGGAAAAGGACAGTAAAGTGTGCATAACATTCTATGTAACATATAATTTTGTGTGATAAAGGCATTGGAATTAATTTTGACTTATATAAAGAAACGAAGTATTTAAGATTTAAATCTTATTATAAATGCTGACAGACCCTAAGAGCCCATGTGTTATAAAATCTTCTGCTACCTGAATTAATAAAATGAAAATATTAACATTGGTTTTGACAACAACCTCCTAGCATTCAAACTGTGCTTTAAATATTCAACCACATCGGTTATAGCAAGCAAGACTTTCATTTTATTTTTGGCAAGTTTGATTTACTCTTTCATAAAATTTTGTTCTTCTGCATTAATAAATAATAAATAAAAATTTGAAACTGGAACTATATTATACTTTTTAACCAATCTCTTGCAGCTGCACTCATATGTAATTTACTTCAGTTAATGCAAGAACTAAGATACCAGTCTCATTAATATGAGATTAAGTTACAACTAATGTGTAAAACCGTATATATTTGGTGATTTTGTAATGTGAATTGATTAATTCTTATTTTACTGATACTATTAATCATGCAGCATACGATTAAATACATGCTACATTTACCTTTGGAATCGGATTTGAAGAACTTAGCTTTATGTAGTGGTGGTATACATGCGGGGTGGAGAGCTTATTTTTTCATTTTGTCAAAATAGATATTTCCTGACAGGTCTTCACAAAATACACTGTTATGAGATTTTTAATGTATAATAAAGTCCATGGTTTTTGTACCGTCATTTTTGTATGAAATATTTGACATGTGTTCTGAATTTTACTTCTCTAATTTCATATGATGCTTTTAAACAATTGGACTTCTTCTTAATTTGTTATGACACTATAATTACACATCTAGCCCCATTGCAAGTCCATAATAACAGCTACAATGAAAAAAAATTTGTCACTTATTGAAAAGTAAAATTAACATCACTAGTGATGTATTTTTCTTTTTAGAAAAATAAAGAGACTTCTTAGTAATTACCCTAGACATGTTATGGGCAGTGTGACGATGTGTACTTCTATGTTTGGTTCTGCTCAAAGAAATGCCTGTAGAGGCAGGTTATTGTGTACACCAGCTTAAGTGTCTTGGGCCTGTAGTTTTAATACTAATGCATATTCATCCCATGTGCTCATCATAGTTCCCTGTAGCACTTACCAAGATCTTTTCTTCTGCTGGGAGCTTCTGTTCTTGTTTTGAATTTTATAAAATGTATATACACTTGCAGAAGGTCCAGGGGGTGGATGAAATTAACTTTAGAATTATGTAATTTATCTGATATAAGTGCATGTATCTCTTAAATATATTTGTATATTGACATACATATCATTCACCAGTCACTTATAAACAGATACTACAATTTGATTTAAGAAATAAAAACTATTTATGCCAGCCAGTTCTGCAATTTTTTATGTGAAAACTGTATTAAAAATAATTCTGAGTCTGTGCTTTTACTCAGATAGTCTGTATAGCCACAAATCCCTCCATCAGAAAGAAATATAACTTCAGTTTACCTAAGATGGACTACATTATGCTAAAAAAGTATGGTAAGACTAACTGTATAAACATCAGTCTGTAGAACACTGGGCCCATGGTGAAAGACTACATTATCTTCCCTCTCTGTGCTTCCTCTCTTGATGTACCATCTAAATGCTACACAGCTATGACTGAGTGAATGTTTTCTTAGTTTCTTTACTCCCTTTCCACAAATAGAAAACTGTACTTACATACAGCATAGACTATATAGAAATAAAACTTTAAGATTCCATAACTGCTTTTATCAGTGAGTCCCTCCTATATGTCCAGTATAATATAGAAATTATAAGCCATCATCTATTTGAAAATACTTGTCATTTCTATACTGGCAATCACATTAACCAATAAATGATAAACCTTAACCATGATTTTGTGGAAAGAAGGGATGCATATTTCTTGTTAATGAAATTGCAATTGAAGGTTCTATTACAATTACATTACCACACCTCAATACTGGACTCTACAAGTAAACAGACGCTAAGCTCGCCTCAGGACTTTTGCATAAGAACAGCTACCTTCAAGGTTATGTGCTGGAGTTCATATTTATTCAGTGCAGTCACTAACAAATTTTATATATATACTTCTCTATAAAAAGGATTACTGTTCAGAATTATCTTGCGCTATCCGAGGTGGCATCTATTGAGCATGTAGAAATATGGATTCATACACTTAAGTATTTCAGTTAATTAAAACTTTTACTGTTGGTCTTTTTAAACTGCCTTTCAGATTCTAGCCATCTATATATTGAAAGGCTAGTTCAGAGCAACTCTTTAAAGAATGTAGATTAAATTGAGATTTTAGTTGGTAGGTAGAGTGAGAAGTAGGAGTCACATATAACAAGTCAAATTTTAAGAAATATTAAAGAACTATACCT